CAGGATGCCAGAGGAGTGAAGTATTGGCAGTGTGGGTCTGTATGAGAAAGGAAGCCCCTGAAGCTGGGCTCAGTCCCCCAGAGTCCAATGGCCAGGGGTGAGGAGGAGGGGGCCAGGGAGGATTGTGTTACTCTGAACTAAGAAGTTCCTTATTCCCCAAAGAGCCAAAGCAGGATCTGGGTGGCACCATAGTACAGAGGTAGGTGCTAAGAGAAGGCTGAGCCACACAGGACAGGATCAGTTCTCCCACCTCACCCATCCCCTCAATGGGGGGTTCCCTAGTTGAAAACACCTTGGCAGTTCATAACTCTCCCTTGGGAGCAAGGTAGTGTTGTACAGGAAGAAAGAAGCCTTGCTGTATGATGGCTCTTAGCGGAAGTCGTTCAACAAGCAGGTCTAGAGCAAACGTCATGGGCTGACAATACTAAGTGCTGGCAAGGATGTGGAACACCTGGACTGCCGTACACGGCTACAAGAGTGTAAATCATCCAACCAATGGAAAACTGTTTGGTAGAACTACTAAAGCTAAACACACACCCAACCAGTGACCTAGCAATTCCACTCCTGGGGATTTTCTGAAGAGAAATGAGCATTGTGTCCACCAAATGACATGTACAAGAATGTTCATAGCAGTGCTACTATGGCAGCTCAACATGGAAACAACCTAATGTCCACCAGCAGGAGAATAAACACACTATGGTATATTTGTACAATAGAATACTACTCAAAACAAGCTACAGCTACGTGCATAACAGGAATGGAGCCCAGAGACATGATATTGAATGAGAGAAGCCAGACAAAAACGTACACACACTGTCTGATTCCATTCATATGAAGTTCAAGAACAGGCAACATGGATCTATGGTCATAGAATCCTGGATAGTAGTTACCCTTGGGGGATGGGGGGAGTAGATATTGACTAGGATGGAACATGAGGAACTTTCTGGGGCACCGGAAATGTTCTGTATTTTGATCTGGGTGGTGGTTTCATGGATGGTTACAAATGTAAAAATTCACAGAGATTCAAGGTTGTGTATCTTAATTACTGTATGTAAAGTTGTATCAAAAACAACAAAATTTGTTTCTTGGTCTAAAGCTCTGTTGCTCTGGCCCCCTGACGGGCCTACTCAGCAGCTGGTTTTGCACTCAAAGGAGTGTTGTGTCCACCTTGGAATGACCTTTCATGCCAGGTGCTGGTGCTGTACCAGAGGGCAGAGAGCAAGAACTTCTCAAGCTGAAGAAGAATGTATATGGCCTTTTGGGGGCCATCTCGCTCACAGGCGTTTGAACATGGGGTGGAATTTGGTCCAAGACTTATTTCCATGGAAATGTACCCCCAATAGCAAAAGTTCTTAGGATGGAGAACTATAGCTCTTATTCAATTTCAACTGTTAGAGTCTACCAATATCTTAGCAAAATGACGGGAACAAGCAAACAATAACAGGCAATGGTTGGCACAGGCCAGTTCATGATACTTAGCAAGTGAGAAAAAGTTAAACTTGGGCAGAAGAGCTGTTGGGCCTTGTGTTCCAGTCATGCTGAGAACTTCTGCAGTGACTGCAGACAGCTATCAGCTGATTTCCCAGCAACCCAGTACAAGAAACTAAAATACATGCATGCTCTACAAAATGAGACAGTGAGGAATTACATTAAAATGGTGGAAATGGTTATTTCTAAGTGGTTAAAATAGTCTTACTTTCTCCTTTGCACTTAAAAAATTTTCTTTTCCCAAATTAGATAGCAAATAACAAATTTTATATTCTTTTGTGACCAGCTCAGATAAAATCCTTCGGCAGTCTTCTGGACTGTGAAGCTGGGGTGGGTGGGGAGGCCCTCCTCTGGACCCCTATGCATCCTGCACTCTTGCCCACCAGGAACCATCAACATTTCATCCCCCCAACTATCTTTACGGCCACAAAAGAGGCCAATACAAAGCAGAAGGAAAGAGGAAGGAACTCAGACACTGCTTCAGAAATGAGGGGAGTTAGACTGAAACCCTCCACTTCCAACCAGCCTTACAGGTGCCAAGCAAAGGACACACAGTGTTCTTTGAAATAACAACACAACAACCCTTCTGAAGTTTGGGAACAATTAGCTTTTTCTACTCCATGTAGCCTGTGAGTCCTAGCCCTCTTAAGAATATTAAAATTGTAGAGAATACTAACATATATGTAATTATATTGCAATATATATAATATAGCATGCAAAATATAAGTAAATACAAATACATCTTTATCTTTTTCTTTCCACCCTTTAAGGGAAAGGACAAGCAGAATGGAACCCCCAAGTGCCAAGGTCAAGTCAGAGTTCCCCTCCAGCTCTGGCTCAGACACACACCTCCCTGGCCCCTCTTCTCCACCACACAGTCAGGCAGAAACTTCTTTCCCATCTTTTGAAGAAACTATTTTCCTCCTTCAAAGACCTCCCTCCTTTCTTCCTGGTAAAGGCCAGACTGTCTGCAGTTGGCAGGACCAGATGTTCACACTCCTTGCCCTACAGATACCGTGGAGAGCCTGCAGAGCCAGGGGCAGACAAGGCTCCCATACTCAATCTCCCTTCAGCACCTGTCCCAGAGCCTAGCAATCCTACCATTCACCCCCTCTTCTCTCAAAGCTCACAGCCTGGCCAGGTCAGAAGAGTCTATCTGAAAAGCAAATTCACACTCAAGTGTTAATAGCAACTATTACACTAATGAAAGTGGCCAAGCTGACCAGGGTTTTGGCAAATGCTTTTAATGATATTTTTTAACTTGCTAGGAAAGTGAGATTTTCTTTTCCTGGTTAGAGTGCCTCCACATGCTCCAGTATCATATTTCAGACTTGAGGCCATGAATTTTAATAACAGCAGTGATAAAATTAATTAAGGAAACGTCTACTCACTTCTAGGGCTCTGAATATGTGGGTATGGAGAGAGTAGAAAGTGCTGGGTTCTGGATTCTGATCCAGCACTGCCTCTTCCTGCTCTGTGACGCTGAGCACACCTGACCTGCCACTCTGTGTGAAATGAATTGGTGGGGGGTGGGTTGGTGGCTAGATGATCCTTAGGGTTTGACATTGTGTCAGGCCCTCCCTGAGAACCAGATATCTCTGAAGGCGCTGTCTCCATCCTCTGTCCCCCAGCCCCATCCTCTAAACATAAGGGGCTTTCCTCAGCACTGCCCTTGCCCCTCCCTCCCCTTGGCCATTCTCCTAACTACACTGATGGGCTTCAGTGGCTCCACATTTCTGTCATCTGCTCCTACCTTCCTCTGGAACTCCAGGTCCAGTTCCATCTGCTTGCTGGGGGGTTTTCTCAGATGTCCTGTAGGCAACATAAACTGATCAGGAACTAAACTCTTCCTCCATCCTCACCCGCAAACCCACTGCTGGTCCCTCCAGCCACACAGTGACCCTGCCATAACACTCCTTTTCGACTCTGATGTCTAATTAGTTGCCAAGCTGCAATCAAGGTTCTTCCCTATTCAAATCCTTCAATAGATGCTGCCACCTACCATGTACTAATGCCTCACCCTGGCTTTGGGGTCCTCTATTAAATCAGTCTGAGAGAGGCTCAGAGAGGCCCAGTACCATGCTTGAGGTCACACAGCAAGTGAGTGACAGGGCTGTTAATCCCAACACACTGCCTCACTCCCTAAATTGTTTCCAGTCAAAGGGGATGGCAGTTGGTCACTGGAGTTGGAATACACACCATACCTCCCAGAGGCTGCCCTTTGTTTAAGCTGCTTCATCTATTTACAATGACTTTATCCTTCTCTACTAAAATCCTACTCATCTGGTCATTTTTCCTTTATTTGCAAAATGTTCTACAGGGTGAGCTTGTAATTTCGCTCTAAATTGCTTTTGTAATTCAAAATATAAATTCATATATAGGTATTTTTAACCCCACTTGAATTAATTGCTTCATTCTTCTGGAAGCTTTTTCAGAGTTGTCTGCAATGTGTCTTATAAATCAGGTTGTTAGCTTCGTGGGATTAGGAGTGTGTAGCTTTGCACTCTAACACATAATATAAGGACTATCAGTACATTAGAGATACTTTGTTAATGTTATACCAGATTGACAGCCTTTACACTTCAGTGACTCCAATAAGGATTTCAAAGGCCCTGTGGAGGAGGTGATCAGGAGACTCCTGTGTCCTCCAGCCACACACTGAAATACATAACTCCCAGTCAAGCACAGGAGCCAGGCAGAACCAGAGAGAATGGGTCAAGGAAAAGCTATCCTAGGCCCAACAAACAGTTTGTCTCAGGGAATACTCCTGCTTCTGCTCAAGATATCCCTTTCCAGAAATGTTGGAGCCAGAGCCACAGAGAGGGGAGGGAGGTACAGAACAGGCCAGCATAGCCTTGAAATGCTATGGAGCCCACAAAAAAAGCCTTGGCCAGATCGTCGTCCCGCAATTCTGCCACCATTTCTTGGCTGGCTGACCTTGGCCAAGTTTTTTAATCTTGCTGGTCTGTTTCCACATCTGCAAAATGAAGACCAGGTAAGTTAAAGGCTCACTTCCAGCTCTAAAAGGAGTCAGGCTCATGTTCTGACTCTCTGTGTGTCCCGGCTCCCTCCCTCTCTATAGAATGGGGACGGCAATAATGTCAAATGAGGTGGCAGCAGCCTACACACTCCAATTCTGCAAGCTTGGTGAACAGGTGCCCGAGATGTCCAAAGGGCCACTTCTCCCACTGAACAAGGAGCAGATGCTCCTAAAGGAATGGGGCTACAGAGCAGCCAAGGCGTGGGAAGTAGGCTGGACCTTCCACAACTCCCAAAAGGCAGTGCTGTTGGGGAGGAAAACGTCAGAAATCATTCTTGCACCCCTCCCAGGGGTCCAAGAGACAGACGGGCAGGCAGACAGACAGAGAGACAGAGCCCTGTCCAGCTGGGAGTCTGCAACAGCTAGACAACCCCATTCTTAATAGGCCCTGGTGTCTTGAAGAGGGGGAGGGCTGCAGAGATTAGGAGGAGAAGGGCAGGCCCCACTGACGACATCAAACACACACAGCAACTGCTGCCCATTAGAACATTTATTTCTCAGAGAGAAAATAAGTTTAAGACAGTCATATTACAGTAGGTAAAATTAACTTTTGTATTCTTTACAAGCATAGATTTTTCTCTGTTTATTACCTCTCTTATACCATCTGTTATAAACAATTCTAGAAAGCAAATAAAGTCACTTTCTACAATAAATAGAGCATCGTGTGCTTCACAGCAGACGCGACTGAGACACATAGGCCCCATGCCACAGCAGGATCTGAGCCGTTTCCCGTTCTAAAAGAGCAGTTTTAAAAATGAGACTCAGAGAGAGACTGAAAGATTCAAAGAGACTGAAAAAAAAAAAAAGGGAGAAAGAGACTAAGAAAGTATTGGGGGGAAGAGACAGACACAGAAAGAGAGAGAGAGAAAGCCCCGAGATCTTACAACACAGGTTGAGACGAAGGTCACATAGTCCACAGCTGACCGACTACCTGGGGAGGGGGGACGCATTGGCTCCTTTAAATAAACCACACTGTGTGCATTTAAAATACTCAGCCACACAATGGAGGACTCCAGTAATGGAAACTATAGGCCTGAATAATTTAGAACAGTATTTTACAATTATATACACTATGTCCTTCCCTAGCCATAGGCTGTATTGTAGTTTTATTATTGTACAAAATCCAAAACCCCATCCTTTATGTTATAGAGAGTTTTGTTGGTTCCCTTTTAAACTCTGGCTCATGTCCCAAACATATAAGAAGTCGTGGCGGTTGGTTGGTTGTATTTTTAAAAAGTGTGTAAAAATGGCAGTGATCTCCCCAGTGACTTTGTTTTGTCCAAAACTCCCCTATGAAAAATTTAAAACAATTAAAAAGAACGTCAGGTTAAAAATCAACATGGCAATCAGTGGCCTGCAACCTGGCCCTGCAACTTTGGTGCTTAAGAGGTGAAAAGAAACATCCAGAGAACAGGCATCGAAGCCTCTGAAAGTTGTGTTGGTTTGTCAGTCAGCATTCCCGTTTCACAGTTTTTTTTCCCTTCTGTTTTTGAGAAGGTAAAGGTGGAGAGGGGGTTGAAGGAAAAGAGGGAAAGGGACAGGGGGTTTGAAATAAAAGACTGTGTTCCCTGGAGTTCAGAGCAGCAGAGGCTAGGCAGGGCAGAGCGCAGGACAGGAAGATGCTGGACTGCAGGCCCCACGCCATCCCTAGTGGTAGAGAGAGAGGCTAGAGGCTGCAGGTGCAGAAAAGGAAAAGCCCACGAGGAGACGCTAGGAGGAGTGAAAGGGCAGACCCAGCCAAAGGGCACAGCTTCACCCAACAACCCTCGGAATCCACGTGGACAGATGGACACTGGCACAAGCAGCCTGGTCTGCTGACAGGAGCCCGTCCAGCCTGAGCCCACCTCTCTGCAAGACAGAAGAGGGCTGGAGGGACCCTGCCTCAATCTAAGCAGGCAAGTTCTCACAGCCTGGCCTCAGCTGTTTGTCTGTAGCACATGTAAGGGGGTGGGGAGGTGTGCTGGTGAAGGGGTCACCCAAGTGGTAGGCTAGCAGCTGGCCTCAAAGGGAATGAGCCATAAAAAGAAAAAGATCAGTTTGGTGATGGTTTCTGTCAGTTTGGCACAAGAGGAAGTCGGGAAAGGAACAAGGGAAAAAGAGAGACTGGGCAGAGGTACAGAAGATGGGACAGGGAAGAGGTATGAGGACGGGTGATAGAGAGAGAGGGTGAGCTCCGTGAGATTCCCCGTGGGACCCTAGTGTATCCACAGCACCTCTGGGGTCAGTGTCAGAGCCTCGCTCACCCTGAGGTGTAGTTAGTTAGGAATGAGTTGGAGGGGCCAGGCACACCCTTGAGAAAGCCCAAGACCTCTTGCTTTCTGGGGCCAGGTCTATCTCCTCGGCTGGGCCCAAGCCTCACAGCTGTTTCTATTTCTAACTGGTTCTTCAGTGGACAAGCCCCTGAGGGAGCTCAGGTGGGAGTTTTTGGCACACAGCAGGCCCACCAGGGGAACCATGCAGTTTAGTCCAAACTGGGGCCTTGTCCTTGGGGAGGATACAGCCCAGTCCCTGGCCTGCCATGGAAGGGGCAAGCTGCCAGCCGTACGTCTGGCTGGGGCAGGAAGAGGCTTCTCTGTGCCCCACAGGACGGAGGCAGGGCAGGCAGATGCAGGCCAGGCCCTGCCCTTACAGGTAGCTGGAGGTGACAAAGGAGTGGGGTCCCCGCACTCGGCTCAGATGGATCATCGCACGGTCGTAGGCCACCTGCACTGACTTGCGGATGCTGGTCTTGCGGCCTTCCAGCATCTTGAGCTTGTCCACAGTGTCTTCCACACCCAGGGGCAGGACTTTGTCCCTCGGAAGCCACTGCCTAAAATACAAGCACAGTAAGAAGGCTGGACCATGGTGGGTCCCAAAGGAGGCTCTTCTGGACCCACTTGCCCAGGACCAGCAAAGCCAGGGGGAGGGGACAGGGCAGAGGGAGGCAGACTGGGATGCCACAAGCAGGAAGCCACCAAGGGACTTATTTCGCAGCTGGGCCCAGGACACTCACTCAGCTTAAGACGGTTGCCAGAGGGAAGCCCGTGTGCCCCCAGGGAGACTAGCTGAGTCATCTGGAGGGCTCTGAGCCTCACCCTGCCTTGCGGAGTCAGGGAGCTACAGCTAGGAAGTGGAGCTGATGTCAGGAATCGATGAAATGATCTCTGGTGGGGCCTGCACCTGGTGTTTTTTAAAAGGTCCCTGAGTGAATATAACATGTGGCTAAGAGCCCAGCCTTTGGAGCCAGATCTTGGTTTGTATCCCAGTTCTGGCTATGGATTCTTGGCTTTCTGAGCCTCAGCTTCCTCATCTGTAAAATGGATTGGGAGGGGATTAATGAAGATTTAAATGAGGACCAAATGAAATCATGCATGTAAAGCAATTTGCATAAAGAAATGGAGTAAATGCTCAATAAATGATAGCTATTAGCTAGTCCTACCTCCTCACTCTACAGAAGCAGAGGTGAAAGAATCCTCCTGCTGGTGTTTGTAAGCCATGAGCAGACAAGCCCCTTGCGGTGGATCCTGCACTGCCCAGAACTCTCCGCCCAGGACTGAGACATGCTTCCCTGCAGCCGCTGGGAGTGTTGGCAGATTACAGGCTCTCAAGTGAGTCCTGCTCCAGGAATCAACCCCCATCAATGTCACCCCCTTCCCCAGGGGCAGCCAGCATTCAATGACTGGTTGACATCGGGGTACAAAGGCACAGCCCCAATCCCTGACATCTCTAATGAGCCACCCAGCTCCAGAGCTCCAAACAGGATGAGCTGAGGCCTCTGCAGCAAGTGCACTGCAGTTCAACTTTTTCCTCTGCCCAGTGCTGCGCCCCCTCACCCTCACAGCTCTTCCCAATGACTCCTAATACAAATCTCCATCTCAGAGTGCTTCACAAGGAATCTGATCTGCGATACCCCTCAGTTACTATTAACACCATTAATCAGTGTTATTAGTAACACCAGGTTACTGTTAACATGGCAAATGCAGACCAGCTGCTGGCAGGTAACCCCTCACCTTCACCTGGGTGGAGGCAGGGTGGCCGAGTCCACAGCCCCTTTGTGTACCTCTCCGGCACGTCAGCATTAGAACAGCCACCTGGTTGGGCCCCTCGGCCTGCATCCTGGTGCACCCTCCCAGCAGCAGCACCCACTCACCAGGTGCGTTTATTGTCAAAGAAGAGGACAAGGAAGAGCTTCTCTCCAGCCTCGGCCTGTTTCTGCTCTCCCAGCTTCAGCACATCCAGTGGGGGGACGGGGATGGGGACGCCATTGTGCAGAAGGCCCTCCCGGGGCATCTTGGGATCGATGATCTGGAAGCAGGAAAGGAGACAGCATTCAGCGGGGGGTGGATGGGGTGACCAGTGCACCCTGCTGTAGGACTAACCACTGAACCACCGTACACCAAAGCTATGCAGGGGATTGGCTCGGCCCACAACGCAGTGATGGAGGGGCTGACCTCTTCCAATGACCCTCAGTACCCCAAACAGAAACTCTGACTCTGTTTCCCCAGGTATTGTCCTAATCCTTTGGCCCTTTCCAATCAGACCTTCCGACAAGGGAGCTTGCTCCATCAACTGTCAGGCCCCAGAGCTGAAAGAGAAGTACTGGGAAGCCAGGGTGGGGGGTTTTCAGAAGTGAGTGGAGCATCTCTGACGTCCAGGCCAGATAGACAAACGCCTTCCTCCCAATGTCCCTTAGGGGAGAGGAATGGAGGCCATTTTTTTCCCCTGCCAATTTCCCTTTAGAACCTGTGCAATTCATTTCAAAATCTCAGGGGCTTCCTAGACACCATGGCTGTGAAGAAGGTCCTGAATCGGCCAGAGGGCCCATCCCTTTGGTTCTACCTAAACAGATCTCCTGGTTACCCACCACCTTCCTGTCTGACTATAATCCTTCCTGGTGCATAGACCAGATACAATTTTAGCACCTCCACGGTAAAATCAGAGAGAAGGCAAAAGACTGAGTGTGGAGGGTTGCTGAAGAGGGGAGAATGATGTGGTCGGAAACAAGGGCCACTGGAAGAATGAGTCCTTGAGGCTGCAGGCTCCACAAGGGCAAGGGCTCAGCAAAATGCCTGGTGGCATCAACATAACAATAATTCTCCAGCTCTGTGGAGCACTGACAAAGTTACCAAAGCTCCTAATTATTCACACATCATCTTATTTCATCCTCTCGCTGATGCTGAGAAGTCTGCTGACAAGTACTAGCTGACAGAGGAGAACGCCAAGCACAGAAGGATGTAGCTGGCTGGGACTAAAACCAGGCGCCTGGACAAGGCTTGGGCCTCTGCTGCCCACTGCCTCCTACACAGCCCCTGCTTCCAGAGCAGCTGGCTGATAATCTCTGTGCACCAAGGCCAGGGAGACTTGGAAACTTACCGAGGAGGCAGCTTTCTCCAGAGATGGAGCAATCTTAATTCCTATACCCTGTCCCAGGGGGTCTCTTATAATAATAAATTGCTCTATTTACTTCTGGGTGTTTGCCAGCTTCCCTACATCCTTCTCAAGATAAGCAGCTAAAAGCAGGTCCTCTAGTTAAGAGTTTACTCTAAGGAAGAACCACCACTACCCTGCCCCCAGCTGTGTGATTTGGTAAAAACTCTAACTCCCAGCCTGTCTGTCCCTCCTGGGACTGAAGCTAAGGGTCCTAATGAGAACCACCAGACAAGCCCTCCTGAACTTCCTCGATTATCAACAGTGGGGATAGTGCCTGGCTTGGAAAGTGGGGCAGACTGTGAAAAGTGACCCCCCAAGGGCAGAAGCAAGATGGGCAAGTCTGCCTCTTAAGGGGAGCTCGCCTCCCTTTTTAAAGAAGACAGAGGCAAATGTATCCCCAAATAATAAATAATGGTCCATTCACTCAAATGTCATGCAGATGTAAAACAACATGGAAATAAAGTCTGCAATAACATTTAACACATTACATAACAAATGTGTACACACACCATTGTTACGGCTATAATATATAAACGATAAATAGAAGCAACAATACAAAATGCTTATAGATGATGTCATAATGATGCGATTTGTGTTGATTTTCTCTTTTTCCAAAGCTTCTGCAATGTAGATACATAATTTTTACAGAAAAACAAAAAACATTTTTTTAAAGAACAAGAGCCTCAGAAATTTAAAAACCGTATAGTCACTATATGTGCAAGTACATATTTAAGTATACAGAGGAAAATGACTGGGAGAGCATAAACCAAAATAAAAACACAGGTTGTATTCAGGTGGTAGGTTTTTTCAGGCGGTGGCTGAATTTCTTTATCACAAAAGAAAATGTATGATTAAGAAGATAATTAAAAAGGAAAACAAGAGGGGCTTCCTTGGTGGCGCAGTGGTTAAGAATCCGCCTGCCAATGCAGGGGACACGGGTTCGATCCCTGGTCCGGGAAGATTCCACATGCTGTGGAGCAACTAAGCCCGTGCGCCACAACTACTGAGCCTGCGCTCTAGAGCCCGCAAGCCACAACTACTGAGCCCACATGCCACAACTACTGAAGCCCACGCGGCTAGAGCCCATGCTCCACAACAAGAGAAGCCACGACAATGAGAAGCTCGCACACCCCAACGAAGAGTAGCCCCTGCTCACCGAAACTAGAGAAAGCCCGTGCAGAGCAACGAAGACCCAACACAGCCAAAAAATAAATAAATAAATTTATTAAAAAAAAAGAGACTAGTTTTAGACTGGCTTTCTTTGTATTGTGAGATTAAAAAAAACAAAACTAAACCTGCACAGTCTTAATCAATTCTTCAGCAACTAAGCTGGGGGTCTCACTGACAGCTGGGCATGGAGCCTGTGAAGGCAGCCCCAGGTCCAACCTCCTCAGCGCTGGATCACAGTGTGGATCTCCCACCTGCCACTGCTAAGCAGGGGGTGAGGCAGGTAGCATGGGTTCCAATATGACTCCAGCAAGTCATATAACCTCTTGGAGCTACAGTTTCCTCACCTGTCCAAAAAGGATCAGAGTTCCTGCACTCTTCACCTTAAGAGGCTGCTGTCTATGAAAAGAGCCATAGACAAAAATGAGCTGGGAGAGGCTCAGAGCTCTGTGTGCACGCATAGGCTGGCAGGGCGGTTCTCAACACCCACTATAGATCATCTGGGGAGTGTTAAAAAAAATAGTCATAAAAAAAAGAAACAAAAATATTCATGCCTTGGTCTGGCTTTAGAGAGTCTAATACAGTTGTTCTGAGATGGGGCCTCAGGATCTACATTGTTTAAAAAATTCCCCCAGATGATTGTGACATGCCCCAAAGGTTAGAATCAGTATTTTCAGGGCCAGATGGATATTACCTCCCTAATATAGAAAGAGCCCTAAGACATAACAATCAGGGTGGTAAAAATTAGAATTTTTAGCTACTGCCACTATGGAAAAAATGGAAATTTTAGCTACCATTGGTGGGAGTATAAACCAGAACTAATGTTCTAAGGGGCAACTTGGCAATTTGCATCAGAATTTTACATAGATGCCCCAAGAAGGCATTCCTAAGACTTCTTCACTGTGAAGAAATAACCATGGATGTGCACAAATGTTAAGCTACAATGATGCTTACTGCTGGCTGTTTATCATAGTGAAAAATTCAAAATGATCTAAATGGCCACCTAGGGAGTGGTTAGAATAAGGTACACGCATACGACTGCAGATGATGCAGTAACGAAAGCGCTGCTGCTGAAGAATGCTTAATGGCGTAAGGCATGCACGCTCATGGTGTACTGTTAAGTGAAGGGGAGGTTAGACAGAGTACAGTCTCATATTTATGCACATTTATGCATTAAACAGAAAAAAAAAGGGCTGAGGATATACATCAAGAGGTAATCTCTGAATAGATGGCACTGTGGGTGATTTTGAACTCAGTGGCTCAGAACACAGGCTTTGACATCACACACTTTGGGCCCTGGGCTCAAATTCCAACCCTGCCACTTAATAGCTAGATGACCATGGTAGCAGATAGATCTTCAGTTTTTTCCCCTATAAAATGAGAATAACCATACCTTCCTCAGCATTTCAAGAACTTAGCATGACAGACATTTAGTAAAACACCTAAGCATTATTAACAGCTTTTACAATTTTCTACAATGAGCACATTTTACTTTTATGAATAGATAATTTTTTTTATTTAGCAAATAAATATATGCTATTAAATCACTAAGAGCCCTAGCTTCTGTCTGCATACTTTAACCTATTTTAAGAGCCCTAAGCAGGGAGTCTAGCTGGTGTGACCCACCCAGGCTGGGATAAAACCTCCCTCCCTTCTGCAGCTAAAGGTACCCTGACTCTCCTGGCTTGATCCAATCAGATAAGCCCCCAAGGCAAGGCAGGGGCCAGACCACCCATGGGAGGGAGGAGGATCAGGCAGACTCACCAAGGCGGGGTAGGAGGGATAACCTCGGCACTTGGCCCACACCAGCTCCAGGGGCTCCAGGTCTCCACGGTCTTCAAAGGGCATCAGGAGGCTTCTGCCTGGGGATGGGGGAGGGGAGGAGACAGTGCCCAAGGGGGCATGGAACGGTGCCCAGGAGGCCTGCCCGGGGCCTCCATTTGACTGGGACAGCCCAGGAATGAGTCAGAAACATCCCCTCCACCCTTCCTCTTCCCTACCCTCTCCTTAGTTCTTAAGACTAGATCAGGAGACGGCAAACTTGTTCTTTAAAAGGCCAAATAGTAAGTATTTTAGGTTTTGCAGTCTCCATTGCAACTACTCAACTCTACTATTGTAGCATGAAAGCAGCCACAGACGATTGGTAAATGAACAAGCACTGCTGTATCCCCATAAAACTTTATTTCTGGACACTGAAATCTGAATTTTGTGTAATTTTCACGTGTTACAAAATGTCATTCTTCACTTGATTTTCAATCATTTGAAAATGTAAAAAACATTCTTAGCTCGTGGGCCCTACAAAAACAGGCAACAGGTTACAGTTTGCTGACCTCTGAACTAGAACCCTAGGTTGATGTTCCTTGGAAAAATATAACTGCTTCATCACCAGGACACCAGGAAGAAGGACTATAATGCATCTTGGCAAAGCCACAAACTGCTCTCTGGGCCTCCCTGACTGGTGGGCCTCATGATGGAGGCTTCATGGAAAAAGATGCCTGGGATGGATATCCCAGTAAAACTATTTGCTAAATGAGTTCTTTTCTGACAGGGCCATACCTGGCTATCCAGGACACCTGGCTGCACAGCACTCAGCAGAGCCAAGCAGGTCTGCAGACTCTTTTCTTGCCAGTTTTGTCAGAACCTTACACAGGGTGTCCTGCCTGGGGCAGGCACCACATCTCTTCGGTTTACTTTGTTCTGCACCTAATGCATTAGCACACATGGATGGGTACTTCGCAAATGTCTCTGAATACACAGAGGAACCTCCCTTCCCCTCCCCAGTCTATAAGCTGGCAACAGGGAGGTGACCACACTCAACTAAGGAAAAGATCCAAATTCCACAGAGTAGAAATCATGTTCCTAAGGAAACATTACCATCTACATATATAATTTTTTATAAAGTATATTCCTGATAATGAGGTCTTGTTTTCTACTAAATCAATAGCAATAACAACAAAAAGACAAAATCCATTACTGAAGAGGCAGGCTGTGGGGAAACTGGTGCAATCATATACTGCTGAGGAAATTGCAGACCAGTCTAATCCTTTCAGAATATAATTTGGCAGTAAGTCTCAAGAGTCATTAAAAAAAAAGTATGAACAGTCTACTCCAGTAAATTCCTTCCCTGGGAATTTGTTCTTAGAAAAATAACTTTTAAAATGAATAAGAGGCTTTTGAACAAAAATATGGGTTCACTACCTTATGTATAATGTTAAAATTTGAAAATAACCAAATTCTAACAATGAAACAAGTAAATTATAATGCATTGATTGGAAGATAACATTGAAAAAAGCAGAATATGAAAGAGCATGTGTTTTGGATTAGCATTTTGTGAAAAACGTGCCTGAAATAAATAGAAGGCAACATAGAGAAATGAAGACAATTGTGTTAAGGTGATGGAACAGTGGAAGGTCAGTTTCCTTTTTAAATTTCCTTTGGCATCATTTTAATAATTACGTGGTTTTAAAAATAAGAATAAAATGTCACCACCAGAAGCACAAAGTACGTGCCAATCCGCTCCCAGTTCTGCACTAGATGCTGTACAAATTAACCTAGACATAAGCCCTGCCTTCTGGGCACTGACAGTCAGACAGTAATGAAACATGCAGGCATGCATTCATCAACACACATATGAAAAAGAAACTGATGCTAAGGGAAAATAAAGCAGTTGGGAAAAGGAAAGAGGGGAAGAGAAGCCCTGAAGGCTGAGTATTAGACGGAAGCTTCAAAGACAGGGCATCCAGAGTGCACACCCCCCATAGGAGGGCTGGACAGAGATGTGCTCAGAGAACACCCAGCCCTGCACCTGTTCCACCTAAGCACCACCCAGTCCTCTCCTTTGGCTCTGCCCTGTCCTTTATTCCTTCAGTCAGAGGAGATAAGATCCATGTGTTTTACTGTTTGGACCTGCTGGAGTAGAATGTCTCCATTTTACCCCAGTAGGGAGTAGAAGCATTGGATCACATGAAATTACAGGGTTATGTGTGAAATTCAGTGACACAGGATATCATATTACTCCTGTGAGGGCAGACTGGAAATATCTATCAAAATTACAAATGCATACTTCCTCCAATACAGCAATAGAGTATATCTATAGATATACACCCCAGGGATACAAAATGATCTTTGTACAGGTTGCCCACTGCAACATTGACTATGACAATTAAACAAAAACAATTTAAACGTCCATCTGCAGAGGGCCAGCTAAGTAAATGATAGCACACCTATGTAATGGGATATTAGGCAGCCAATAAAAAGCACAAAAGAATCTCCAAGATATATTATTAACTGAAAAAAGGCATGGTTTAGAGGAATGTGCATGTTAGGCTTCTCTGCTCACTCTTTTAAATATACACACAAGTTTTTGGTTTGTGTACGTATGGATTACATCTGGAAAGACACAAAAGAAACCGCTAACAATGGCTATTCTAGGGAGGGGAGAACTGGCTTTTCATTATGCACCCTTTTGTACGTTTCTGATTTTTGTCACCACGGTATGTGTTACTTATTCAAAATAAGATGAATTTAAAAAAAAGTAAAAGGAGTATGAATGACCTGGGAGGAAGGGCCATTTCCCTGACCAGTGCCCCCAGGTTCGGAGGAGCTCAGGGTCTGGCTGCAGCCCGCAGAACTGGTTCTCTGGAAGGCCTGGTCCCCCAAGATGCACCTGTACAGCACTCCTCACCTGAGCCGTTGTAGTCAGAGTCTCCATTCACACCTTCCAGGAAGGGCACTCGAGACAGGGCTGGCTTCCCTCGGCTGCGTTTGGGGGGTGTCAGACCACTGCATATAGAGCAGGGAGGAAGAGAGGAGCGAAATGAACAATTTCAATGAGTAACACATCCACTCCTGCTCTCCCATCTCTGCTAGGAGCAGAGCTGCAAAAACCCTTCAAGGAGAATGGTTCCTCACCTTCCCCTAAAAACTCATATTAACCCGTGATATACTTCTGACCAGAATGTTCCCACGAGGCTTAAGGAAACATTTCATCCATGTGCAAGGACTGAACTTGGAAAGAGAGGCCTGCTCCCCTGCCCAGGGACACTGGATTTCATCCAGAGGGAAGGTCACCCAGGCACTTGTCAATCCTTCCAGAGTCTAAGCAGCCTGGCCATGAGGAGGGCCTGTCTCACATCTGCCCAGAATTCTGAACTCTCTGGTTCACATTGCTTCTCTAGAAACCAATTTATTTTTGAGGTACAAAAATCTGCCTCTTTCCCAAATTTTCTATAATGGACATGCCTTACTTCCTTAATTAGAAAAGACTTTTTAAATTGGAAAAACAATCCGCTTCTCACTTCTACTTTATGTGTGTGACGTTTCTTAGACAGAGATGGATTTTTTTAAACTACCAAGCAGACCGTTTTTTTTTAAATATGGCTACTGCAAAGAGATAAAAAATATATAGTAGACAAAGACTAGAAGGTAATAGGCAAAAATAAGAACAGTAATACAAGAATAATGGTATAACTGGAACCCACCCAGGCATCAGTATTTTTAAGTTGCTCCCAATGCAATTCTAATGTACAAGCACAGTTAGAAGCCTCTGGGCAAGAATGATGTGGCTATGGTTTTTTCCCATTCAAACTTTAAAAAATATTACTGCTATATAATTATTTCAACAAAAAAAATTGCTTAAAAGACAAGTCAACAACCTGCAGTAGAGTAAAAATGCTTAAGAAACCCCTAATGGGATACGAAGAGGCCAGGGTTAAGACTGGTTGGAGAGTAGGGTACTCCTGCGTTACTGAATCATAACTGACTTATCATGGTCTTATACAGAAAACCTGGCACAATGAGAACCTGATGAATCATAATCCTTCAGTTAGTAGTAGGTTGGGAGCTTTCTTCCTGCTAGTCAAAATTAGGACCTGTTGGGGAAAAAACAACATCCAGTTCACATTCAGAATTCAGTTCCCATGCACCCTACAAAAATCTGTCACTGGACTTAAAGAATCTGAGTCCTTATAAAAATGTAAGGTACTGGTAGTTCTATTAGGAAAGCCTCTCCAAGTTCACGTCATGGATCTGGGGAGACATCTCCAAACACAACATAGGAGGGCACAACCAAGCAGTTAAGAGAGAAACTCTGGAGCCAGACTACCTGGGTTCAGAACCTCACTCTGTGCTACTCATTCATTCTGTGACCCTGAGCAAGTTAACCTCTCTGAGGCTTGTGTTCCCCATGTGCTGCTGTGAGGATTTAATGGATTAATACACAGCAAGCACTCAGTACAGAACACACCAAGTATTCAATAAATAGCAGTTATATAGTAAATATTATTATATAAACGGTAGTAAATTTTAATGTCTCACTTGAATATTATAAAATACCAATGTTATACTATCAGATGATGAGCTCTGAGAAGCTTGAGCTCAATGAGACAGGGTGCAACACCAAAACTAGGTCCATATGTTCCTGTTTCATAGAAGAACGCACAAGTGACTCGATCATGGCCTGCATTTCAGCCCTCTCTCTAAGTTACCCAGCTCTAAGCAGACAGCCCAATCTATAATTATTTTGCTTACTGGCTTAACATTTATCTCTCCCTTCTAGATGATAAGCTCCTTGAGAACAGACACCTTATCAGGGCTTAGAACAGTGCCTGGCTCACGGTAAGTGCTTAATTAATAATTGAATGAGTGACCCAAAGAAGAGGGTGCAGCTCCAAACTGCTCAGAAAATCATTAGAAAAGATAAACCCAGGGACAGGATGGGAAAGGGATGGGATTAGTGACCAGAAATTCTTTCAAGGTTCTTTATTCTGCGATTATATGATTCTAGTCTAATTAATAAGATCTTCCTTTATGTACTTACCCCCACAATGTAGGAAAAAAGAAAAGAAAGAAAAAGAAAAAAATCCCTGTAGTTGAAGGCCTGAATCTCCTGTTGTAAACCGCAAAATTCTACTGAGAACCACTGAGCTAAAGAGGAAACGCCTTCCAAGGGCATTGTTCCCACACTGAGCAGGGCCCCAGAGAAACTGGTGGCTTTGGCATGTTCTGCAGAAAGGTAAGCAGTCTGAACGGGCAGGCTAACCAGAGCCTGGCCTGGCTTGCTCCTTGCAGCTCACAGCTGGGAAGAGTGCCCTTTGTGGAGGGAGGGGCCGAACACACCTTCTACCTTTAGTCAAGGACTAAGAGGGGACAGTTTGATAACCCCACTCCTACCCCACCCCAGTGAACTGGGTTTCCAGGCACCTTATCTTTGAAGGGAGTCAGGAACTCCAACCCGGGACCGGGCTAGAAGCATCCTGTATGATTTTGAAATCTCTGCCTCTTCTCTATGCCTGGTAACTGTGTTTTCCCATCCACTCCTCCTATATCTCTAGAGCTGTAACATGGAGGGAGACAGCTAGGACATTTCTGAGGCTTGGTGGGGAAGAAAATCTCTAAGGAGCCACTGAAAGCTGGGCCCTGCTACAGCACGGGAGCAGTCCAGGCCCAAGGGGGCATCTGGGGGCCTCCAAGAGCCCAGCACCAGTGTAGAGTGAGAACCCAATAGAACCTACACCCAGCCTGCCTTTGAAGCACTTCAAACACAGACACATAGTATTTTGGTGCTGCCCTGGGACCTCTCCTCCCCTGCTCTGAACCCAGAATCCATCCAGTAGCCATGTGGAGGGACCATGAGGTCAACCTTCAGGACAAGTCATTCTTCTTTTGTGGCACTGAAGGTCTCCCATTTCCAAGAGTCCCACACTCCCTGGTGTCTTGCAGAGCATACAACACAGAGCAGAGAGATTCAATAAACTCTTAGTCGTGGAAGAAAGTTGAAGGTTCTGGCCTCGGAAATCCTCCCTTCAGGTGAAAGAATGGGAAAAGAAACCCATCCCTTCCCAGCTCAAAGATGGTAGAAGAGCTGGGGCCTTTGTCAGACTAAAAGGCAATTCCAAATTTCCTATCTGTCCATTTCTTATTCCTACACCACTGCTATGATGCCCCGAAAGGCAACGGGTGAAACCATGTCTATAACTGGGTTATCTAAATGGGCCAGGGGGTGGGTGGGGATTGGCTCAAATGTTAACTTCACTGGGCAATACAGAGGGTGTCCCCACCCTCTGGAGCCAAATTCAGATCTACAAACCCTATAAAGCATCAGCACTACTCCTCCCCCCAGTCAGATCAGACCTGACAGTCAAGGGTCACAACGTTTCCTAGGAGCTACCAGAGTCACAGATGAGAGGCTTCAGGAAATAACAGGGGTGCGGGAAGAAAAAAACTGAGATAAGCAGGAGGAGGTTCAATCTGCAGCTTAAAGGAAAATAAATGGAGAGGTGGCAGAGCTGCAAACATGGCTTTGGGACAAGTGTTCTTACCTGCAAGCTTCAAATGCCAGTCCACCACTGAGACCCAAACTACATTCTGAGTCAGACCCGCTTTCAGTGTGTTTTCCAAAGCCGTTGGTCACACCTGCCAAGAACACACAAAGTAAGCCTGAGTGTAGAAACCCCCCTCCCCTGACACATGCTGCAGTGTGAGGCAGCCACCTTGGGAGGGCTCAGCAAGGAGGGATGGAGAGGATGGCTGGTCCCTCCTCTTGGGAAATGGGTCTTGGGTGGTGGAGAGAACCTGATAAAGGTTTGGGGGAAATGTTGGCTAGGGCAGTGAACAGACACTGCATTTACCTTCCCATCCTTCTGGGTTTACTTGAAGGAAAATAGCCTATAGCTCATTCCAGTTACTGTCATTTGACTACAATGGGAAATACCAAGACTTCCTCACTCCGGCTTGTTCACAAGTTCCTGGATCTGCTTCTAATTTCAAGCCTCAATTATCAGGGAGTCTCCTCTGCCTCTTGGGAAGCCCACCCACCTTGCCTCTTCAGATAAACACTCACACACCCTATCCATCACACAGCTGGCAATAGCTAGCTTCATTCTTTTGGGATGGTGTCAGGGGAGGTTGGAGCCGGATAAGGACTGTGTCAACCACACCCTGAGATATCTAGCAGAGCTAGTCAAAGTTGAGGATGGGGGGAACTTTTCAGCAGATCTAAGGCAGACCAGACCTTCCTGGGATGATGGGGAGTCAGATTCCCTGGGTTCTAGACTGGGCTCTGAAATATGGGTCCCTTTTCCTCTTTAAGCCTTGGCTTCTACTTTCGTGAAGTGAAGGTAATACCTTCTTACTTACGGAGGATGCTATTAAGTATGAATGAGGGAAGGTCTGTTTACAGCAGGGAGCCCTTCAGAGGCAAATGAAGACTGTCTGGTCATCCCAGGGACAAGACTCTCACCTGCCATGAAAGCTTCAACTCTCCTCTCTATCTATCCAATTCCCAACCACCATCCAGAATCCCACAAGTCTGATAGCTGAGCCAAGAGCTCTAAGTCACATATACCTTAGCCAGAAAACTGTGAGGCAAGTCACACCTGTAAGAGCAGGTGTCTGAGCCAACATATCTGGACCCTAACCTGGCTCTGCCTCTAACATCATGACCTCAATTTAAATCACCAAAGCCTACTGTGCCTCATCTATAAAGGATCAACACCTGCTTTTAAGAGAACCCACTAAAGTTGTGCAAAAATATTCCTGGGTACCAGGTAGCTGGGATGGTGGAGGAGAAACAGATTCTAGCCCCCAAGCAGTGGGCCCTCTCAGGTTGGATGAGCCTGATGTCTAGACCTATTTCCCAACAGCAGGATTTTTCATTTTTAGTGCTCAGTGCTGTTTGGCTGTGCCTGATATAACTGACAGGATGACAACAATAACTGCTACCAACTACTGCTATATACCAAGTGCTTTATATAGGCTACTTCCAATCCTTAGAGCCACACAAGGAAGGTGTCACTAGCCCCATATTAGAAATAAGGAATAGGCTCACAGAGGTTAATTCATATGCCCCAGGATACACAGCTAGTAAGAAGATGGGATTTGAATTCAAGTCTGCCTCAAGCTCTTGACTCTATATAAACACCCTACTGCCCTAATACAGGGAAGCTTGGACCAGACAGGAAAGGAAGGTACTGCTGGAAACAAAGTATTAGGTAGGAAGACAGAAAAGCAGAGAAAAGCATGTGCTGACCACACAGCCCAAAGCCACCATGTAACAGGACATGAGGAGCAAAAGCCAAGAGCAGGCCCCTCCCTGCCAAGTGAGCTGGCCTTCCATATCCCACCAAGACTAAACAACTGTCTGGTGATGGAGGCCCTGCATGTCCAGGTCCACCTTGCCCACAGCATTGGCTCCTGATGCCCCTCTTCGCTTTGGAGAGGGAAGCCCCTCTCCAAACTGTCCCTCACAGGGACTCTGACCTTGTTTCTACACACCTGGGCCTGAGCCCTTTGTTCCTTTCTAGTCTGTCCTCATCCCCAGGGCCAGCTTAGGCACTGTCTACTCATGAAGCCTTCCCAACTCCCCCAGTTCCTATTCCCTGAACCTCTAGCAGTGCTGTCACCTGACACCTAACCACAGACTGTCCAGCACTGGGGTATCTCTGCACCTCAGGACACCATCTAGTCTCCCCACTGGATGGTAAACTCTCAGATTTGGACCTGGGTCTGATTTACTGCTCCCCAGTGACCAGCTTGTGTTGGACATGCAGTAAGGACTCTAGTGACAAGCCCCTATTACTACCTCTGAGACCCCATCTCCTATGATCCCTTGGCTCACTCTGCTGTGGCCACACAGGTCCCCTCACTGTTCCTCAGACATGCAAGCATGTTTCCACCCCCATGGCCTGTGCACTTGCTAGTCCATCTTTTTGGAACGTCTTTTCCCCAGATACCCAAAGAGCTCACACCTTCAGCTCCTTCAGATCTTTACTCAGAAAGCCTCCCCTGGCCACCCTCTTTAATAACACCTCAGCATCCCCTCTCCCCCGCTTCCCTGCTGGACTTTTCTCCACAGCTTCTAATATGCGATACAATTTACTTATTTGCTTTTAGTCTACCTCCCCTACAAGAGAGGAGACTTGTCTGTTTTATTTATTGATTTTTCCCCCTACACTTTAGTGCCTACAATAATGCCTGATATAAATATCTGATGAATAAATGAACTAAAATGAAAGTAGGAACCATTTTATCATATATAGCTTTATATGCTGCTCAGGGCCAAAGAGAGCCCCAGACACAAGCTGGCCCTCTCAAAACACTTGCTCAAAGCCTATTTCCCCAGGCCACTACTCATGTACCAGGCCCAACTGTGCGCTACGGAGCCCTCAGTGCTACTACTGGCATCCACAGGGGCCATTAGGGAGGCAGCTGACTGGGGAAGGTGCCGGCTGGCAAGGCAAAGCAGGAAAGCAGATGAGAAGTAGCAAGAGAAGTCACAGGCGAGGTCACCTGTCTCTTCCCCCTGCTGGGGGGACCTCTCCCCTTCGCTCTCACTACAGCTCCTGCTCCTTGGCCGCTTCCGGGAGTGCTGTTCATCCTCGATGCTGGTGGGAGACGCAGGAGAGCCCACTGCGCCATGGTCCTCACCATTCTCCAGGGCCCTGTCTGGGCTCCTCTGTAGTTTAACCCCATTCTTGGCCTTCTTGAAGAGGACTGATGTGCGACGGCCCACGCCACTGAGTGGGGCGCCTGCGGGGGATGTATCGGGGGTCATGAGGGATACTCTATTAATGCCATTGTCACCGAGCAGGTGTTGCAAGGGCTCGTTCCCTAGCTGCAGAGGTGATTTTTCCAAAAGCTCATCTTCTTCCACTTTTCTTGGCTTTGGGAATCGGCTTGGAGGTTTGCTATCATTGATGGGTTTCAGAGTGGGGGGATCCGGAGGGGATTCTTGCTCAGACAAGGAAGGCGCAGGCCCAGTAGGCTCCAGGGTTGGTGGGGGAGGCATTTTGGAGTCATCTGTTAGAGAAAAAGAGAACCTGCTTGAACATTTTAGAAAAAGTCTGCCCCTACAAGCCAGATAATGACACTGATAACTAAGAACCAAGAGCATAGGCTATTAGAAGGTTTGAGACGCGTCTCAGGTCTAAGGTGAAGAGAAGGTAGGACTAAGTTGTGTCTACACTAGTAGTTCTAAACCCAGGCTATGTATTAGTTACTTAGTTTCTTAAAAATTCCAATGCTGAGGTCCCACCCCAGACAAAATGAAACCAAATAGCTAACGATGGATTTTTTTTTTTAAAGCTTACCAGGTGAGTTTGATGAAGTCAGGGTTATAAACCACTGCCCTACACCCAAGAAAGCCCAAAGCCCCCTGCTTAATCAATAATTAAGTAAGTCTCAGCCTCACAGATTAGGAGTCTACAACTCTCTTTAGACCCAGGTGTTTTCCCATCTGTCAATGTATTTTGTTTCATATCACAAGTGAAGCAAGAAGGACAAGCAGAAAGAAGCAGCTTACAGATATGAAAAAATGAGAGCAAGGAAGTTAAATCAGTGGTTCCCGAACATGTCTATTCAACCTCCACCTTAAAAAATGACACTTTCGGGGCTTCCCTGGTGGCGCAGTGGTTGAGAGTCCGCCTCCTGATGCAGGGGACATGGGTTCGTGCCCTGGTCCGGGAAGATCCCACATGCCGCGGAGCGGCTGGGCCCGTGAGCCATGGCCGCTGAGCCTGCGCGTCCAGAGCCTGTGCTCCACAACAGGAGAGGCCACAGCAGTGAGAGGCCCGCGTACCACAAAAAAAAAAAAAAAAAAAAAAAGACACTCAAAACAGAGCTCAGATTTCCCTAATCTGAATTTCTGGGAGATGAAGCCTAGAAATTTTTTGAAACCTCTAGAAGCTGCTGCAGCCGGTCCACTGGGCATGACTCTGCACTGCCTTAGCCCAGGAGTGGGGATGGATACGAGTGGCATGCTGACTGCCACATGGGAAGCTGGGAAGGGTCACAATGGACACGAAGCCCTCTAATGATAAATCTGACCTCTCCGCCACATCCCCGCTCTCCCCCAACCTAAAATAAAATGGGCCATTCCCTGCAATTTGGCCCCTTTTCCCCTGGAGATAATTCCCAACCTTCTTGATTGTGTGGATGACAGGCCCTCCTGAGCTACAGGCTCAGATCCAAGGGCTGGTAAGAGGGAGACAATTCTATCCCCAAAGAAGCGGAGAGGATGGAAAGCAACTCAGATAAGGCACCTGGATCTCTGAGAATCACTTCCCCCAGCTGTCTTTTGCAGTTCTGGGCTTTTCTGCTTGGGGTGGGCCTGTAGACTTGGCCAGCTGGGGTCAAAGCCATGAGCCCAGACCATCCTTAGGGTCTTTCTTTCTTTTCTGTTCCCCCACACCACAACCTAACCTGCTCTAAGAGCCTCTCTACATAATGGTATAAGTTGAACTAATATGTAACTGGTATGTGCAATATGGCCATACCAGGTGCAAAATACTGAAATACTTCTTTACAAGTTAGTAAACAGCTTCTGGGCCACAGCACCTGAAACTCCCTGAACCCACTCGCAGTCCAACAACTAAATATCTGCATCAGGGGCCCTCAGGAGCCCCTCCGATATAACAGCCAACACCTACTCTGACAGATGAACTCTGGTCTCTACGTATTGTTAAACATTTTGAGTATCATCCCTGGGTATGCATGAAAGTGTGGCCCCTCCCAGGGCTTTTGCTTGCCCACGAGGGTCACACCTAGAGTTGGGGAAGGATGTTCCCACTACGGGATTTCAGCTTAACCCTCCCTTACCCTGGCCCGCAGCCCCCGGCCTGCCCGTGACTGTCTCACCTCTGTCCCCATCGTCTTCTGGCTCCTCCTGCGGGGCCTGCTCCAGCACAGCCACATCCCCCCAGGGCCCTGCTGGCAGCTCCCCATTGGACACAGTCTTGTTTAGCGATGCCAGCTGCGGTGGTGGCGGCTGCGCCAGCTTCTGCCGAAGGGCATTGATCTCCCGGCGTAGCAGGCGGACACGGCGGGTCCGGGCCCCACTGGACCGCATGGCACTCACCAGGTCCAGTTTTTCCAGCAGCTCCTTCAGCTGCACCTCTGGGGACAAGTGGGCCCGGTTCTCTGGGATGAGGATGTTGTCCACTGCCAGGGAGAAGGGAGGACAGAAGAAGGGGCTGAAGGACCTGACCAGCCCAGGGCAAAGGGAAGGGCAGGGGCCAATTCCTTCAGATGCAAAATATTCTCCTGGAGTGCCTGGGCCAGTGGCTTCCAGCAGCGTCACTGTGGGGCCTTGGCCCTGGCAACACTGCTCCCAGGAGACCAGCCACAGGGACAAGGTCAGAATCTGGGAAACACCTGCAGGAAGCAGTTCACAGTCACGATTATGGGCTCCGTGGAGCAGGCACGAGGCAGCTTGGCAATCCCCCGGCCTGAGTGACTGTTTGGCTGCTGCCATCGAGAAGCAGAGAGCAGGGGCAGGCAGAGTAGGGAATTACAGAGGCAATTCCATTTTTCTGATGCTCTACCTGCACTCTTCTGAATGAGCCAGACATACACCAGCACTGCACTCCTGCTGCCCATGCTCCAACGCCACACAGAGGGAGTCCAGGAAAGAAAGACCCTTGGTGAATCTTTAGCTTTTCAGACAGACAGCTAGTACCTTATTCCCCTTATCCTACTATTCAAGAAGTGCTCAGGGAATTAACTTTAACCCTCGGAACTATTCCAGCCACAAGCACATGTACCCCAGCCTGTGCCTATCCCCAGCTTTGCTCCTGGAGTCCACCCTATAGCCCCAAGGCCCATCCTGATCCCTGGCTCTCTGGGCTCTATCCCTGCGCCTCCTCCTGGCCCCTCTCCCTGCCCGTCCAGGCTTCTCACCGTCTTCCCAGGAGAAGCGGTAAAAGTCCTCCAATTTGGGTGACTCGGGCAGGTGGGTGCCCCTCTCGGGGTCATAGCCGATGTTCTCTGCCTGCCGCCGGGCGTGCCGCAGGATGGCCCCTCCCAGGTCCCGCAGGCGGACAGCTGCTCGGTGGAAAATTGTGTCTTTAGCATTATACTTCATGCAGTTGGTAACTATAAGGTTAAAGTCCTCCTCAAACTCCTCCAAGGTGCCGTACAGGTGGGACTCCAGCTTCCGCCTCATAGTAGAAAAATCCATTGGCTTGGATATGAATTCCAGGTAATCTGGAACCTAAACATATAAAACCTGTACAATTACAACAACCATTTACTAGCCAAACAGGCGCACCCTTCAGCGGCACTCTTGCCACCCCATTTTCTGGCTTGGCCATGCCAGGCTCACTCACAGCCCCAGGGCCCTGGCCCACCTTGGCCTGCTGAGCCCTCACCGTGGGCAAGTCTACTAGCCTTGCCAGACACCCCCAGGTTTTGTACACCCTGTGGCCCAACCCCTTCCTAGCCTACTCAGACCCTATTTCCATTTCAGGCAGGGCTCACTGCTCAGGAAGTAGGGGGGGAACTTGCCTCACTCAGGTTGACAGGCTCGGCAAAGATGTGTGCGGGATCCTTCTCCTGCAGCAAGTCCAGTGTTGTCCTCAGCAGAACGTTGAACGGCATAAGCTCCAGCTCCATGGCGGCCTGCTGGACCTTGACCTGTGGGGGAGGTGGGGAGAAATCAGGACACCCCCCAAAGAGGCACTGAACTTTTGCTTGATAACTTGACTTTTGCCAGTTGTGTAAAACAAATTTTCACAAGATATTAAGCTGACCACTATTTGAGGAGTTATCACTGAACTTTTAGCCTAGAAATAATCATACCAACAGCTGCCACTTTGTGAACATTTCCTATGCATTCAGGCTATATCAAAACTTACAGTAATAATAGTTAATACCTTTATAGTCCTTACTAAGTGTCAAGTAATGCTCAAAATAGGTACAAATGAGGTATTTTACAAAGAGGAAACTGAGGCACGGAAGGACTAAGTAAGTGACTGGCCCAAGGTCACACAGCTAATAAGGGACAGATTGGGATTCACAGTGTGTGCTTTTGACTACTATGCCACACTGCCTTTCTACTTATATTACCTCAGTTAATCATCACAATAACCTCGAAGGAGAAACTGTAATTATCTCCATTTTACAAATATGGAATCTGAGGTTTGAAAAGAGTATGATGAGGAGTTACTAACCCAAGGTCACCTGGCTAGAAAAGAACAGAGACGGGACTTATACCTAGGTATGACTTAGTCCAAGAGGCACACTGATGATATAAAATGTCCCTTGGGCCAGAATTCCCACCTAATTGGCCCTTGGACCACCTAGGTCGGCCTAGGGTGACCAGGGCCTCGAGGCTCACCCCCTTGGGTGGCAAGTAGCCTGACATATTTGCAGCAGTGTGCTATACAAATGTTATTTTCCATGTGTGCCCTAATGTAAAAAGGTTGGGAAGCCGTGTATTAGACTACAAGTTCCTGCCTCTTGGCTACATCAAAACAAATGCCTGCCTGCATCCCCTGCCTGCTTCCTTTTCCCTTACATTTCTCTGGACCAGAAATGGGAAGAGAAGCTCAGCTGTGGGGCCAGGCCTGGGACGGCACAGACAGTTTGATTCCATAGACAAGGTCCTGAGATGTCCTCCATGCCCACCTGTGCTAAGTATAGCAAGAGCTGCCCAGTCTCAGTGGTGGAAACTCGGGCTACAGGACCGTGAGAGAAGGGCTTGTGCTGGGGCTGAACAGTGAAGCAGAGTTCGGAGAAAGAGAGAAAGAACATCTTTAACCCAGGCCTCTGAAGCATGAGAGTAACAGCTGCTATTCCTGGACCAGAGAGAACAGTTTTGGCATTCAATTAATAGTTTTTGCTCACTGTCATGTGCAGAGTGCTGCCGTAGACACTTCAGGGAGGCAAAGAGTATCAATAATGATGATGATGATAGCAGCTGACACTTCTATAGCCTTACTATGTGCCAGGCACTGTTCTAAGCTCTTTATATACACTAAGTCATCTAATCCTCACAACCTTATGAGATGGGTTCTATTATTACCCCCATTTTATAGTCAAGGAAACTCGAGGTATAAGGAGATTAAGCAACTTAATGTCATACAAGTAGTAAGTGGCAGAGCCAGGATATAAATGCAGGCTGTCTGAATAAAGATGCAGACGTAGAGAATGGACTTGAGGATGGGGGAGGGGGAAGGGTAAGCTGGGACGAAGTGAGAGAGTGGCATGTACTTCCATACACTACCAAATGGAAAATACATAGCTAGTGGGAAGCAGCCACATAGCACAGGGAGATCAGCTCGGTGCTTTTGACCACCTGGAGGAGTGGGATAGGGAGGGTGGGAGGGAGAAGCAAGAAGGAGGGGATATGGGGATATAGGTATACATATAGCTGATTCACTTCATCGTACAACAGAAACTAACACAACATTGTAAAGCAATTATACTCCAATAAAGATGTTAAAAAAGAAACAAAACACGCAAGCTGCCTGATGCCACAGCTCATATTCCTAATTCCTAGGCTACACTACCTACCTCAACATTCTCCATGCTCAGAGGCTTAGAATCTCTTTGAACAGAGGTTGGAAAATTTAAATGATTCAAGACTATAAGTGTTTAAAGGCCAAGTGAGAAACCCCAGAAGCTCCCAGGTCAAAGGTGATACCCATAAGAATGGCTTGAGAAGCTCTCCAAAACATAAGGCCAGGCTCC